GAGAACTCATAAAACCCGCGAGCACTTTTGCTTTACAGCATATTTTTGGTACAAGCCTAAATGAAAACTAAAACTATATCAGCAGTATTATAACCTCAGTCGAGCGAGATTATTTGAGAAGGATACCCAACACATAGACGGTCGCGCTCATTTCACCATTTCTTTGCTTGAGCAGCACAGAGCCACATAGCTGCTCCAGACTGAATTTCATTAGATCATCCTTACCAGTTTTTCGTAACACAGTTGAGAGTTTCTTTCTAAAACCGACAAATCACTAACTTTTCTGGAAACGATGTCAAGCACTTTCTGTGTAACCACTTTGCGGACGGGTTGCATTTCATAACTGCCGTATATAGTGATTCTCTATAGAGGTCCATACAGTAACGCTTTCCCCAATGTATTGTAGGTATCATCTACAGTTTTACTCACAGTTCTAAGGAGTAGGAACGGAATATAGGGACGAAATTAAAACTAAATTTCAGCCTAAATTTCAGACTGTATTTTAGCTTTTGGAAAGGCTGAAATTCAGTTTCTCGAAAACTACACTGGCGATTTTCAAATAAATTTCAAAAAAGATTAAAAACTTCATAACAATGTATTTTCTGTAATAAAAAAGGTAGGTCACCATGCTTAATTGTCCCCTAAGACGGCTTTTTTGCTTGATATAGGCCATATAGATGGTGACGTCATGTTGTCATGAGAAGAGTAGCGATTGTGGGTTAAATTACTCTTTTATATAAGAGGAAACAATGGCTTGCGCAAAAAGTTAGTTTTTTTTTAATTCAAATTAATTAAATAGCTTTTAGTTTAAAACACTGACATATATTGGAAACTGTAGGGAGCCTCCTTAAATTGTTGGAAATGCACATTGAAGTTTGGATTCAGACATCGAATTTGCAGTTATTAACTTGGCCTCTCATGAAATTCGGCTTCGATTTTTCTGAACTTGGGATAATACTTTAACTATGATGTTTTGTTTACAACGTGCAAGCATAATAGTAACTTAATACTTGCCTAAATGTTTTATTATAAAAGGAATTGAGGTGATATTTTCCTTCATATGAATTTCGTTTCTATTACTTCTCCTCCATGACACTATATAATGTTTAATTTCACCATATGGATATTCTGGTGGCAGCCATGACACATTAATAACATTTCCTTCATCAATCACCGTAACATTTCGAGGACTGCTTGGGACTAAACAAAGAGTGAACAAGGATATTTCATTTACAGGTTTATTAGAGCTAGGTCATAGAACATGGCCAGAAATGACGGACAGTCAGCGGTTTTAATTGTGGGCGAAGAAATTGTTCCCACGCGTGCGCGTGATATTCGCGCGACTTCAAATCTACTATAAAAGAGTTAGTTAAACACCTCGGGCGTCGGTATTTGGTCATATACATCCCACGGGCCTACTGCGCCCGGGATGTATATGACTAAATACCCCCGCCCTCGGTGTTTAACTCTAAGATATGCATGTAATATATGCATATAATATATATGTGGCATATATATTACATGTGATAAGATATGTATGATATATGTAAGATATGCATGTAATATATATGTAATAGATATGCAATTGTATTATATATGTGACATGTAAGATTAGTCCAGCGGAAAAGTAAAAAATCATGCACTTTGTGAAGAAAGCACCCAATTCACAGGAAGTGTAGACTTGATGAATCTTAGATATGGAGGCATCACCAAAATTTATGCTGACGGCGTAAAATTTAGGATTTCTTATATTCTTATTTTAAACTCTATTACTGTTTAAAATTGTGAAATTGTAGGTTCATATATAGCAAAAATAACTTACATGATTAGAAAGCTTACAAAAAACTATATAGAAGACTTTTAAACGGCTGATTGATTTTCCAAGCGGTTTTCCAGTTATTGCTACTTAAAAACTCGATAAATAGGCAAAAATCCAACAAAAGTCCTGGACACTAGCCTTAAAAAACAAAAGCAAACATAAAAACAAAGGCAAATGCGTGTAGTTTATGCAAAATATATCGTAAAAAAAGCGTATTATCTGAATTTTGGGATCGTAGCCGTGGAGCGGCTATACTAACAAAGGTAGATACGTCCAAATTTTCATTTATTTCTATTTTATAGTGACGCTAAATGTAAAATTTGGATCGTGCTATCGGTAAATCGCGTACGCAGCAATTATTTCCAGAAAATACTGCCAAAACTAACCCTGTAACTACAAACTTAACCTGTTTTGTCTTTGACGATGAAGCCATTTGAAATCACAAGATTGTAATCTATCGAATAGGCTATTTTTTATATCAATTTGGCATCATATTCAGCCAAAAATGTTTACTGAATTTGATGGACAGAATTACAAATGTTGTTAGCCGGCAATTGTTATCGTCATATTATTCTGGAAACTCGCTGGCAAAACTAACCCTGCAACTGAAAAATAAACTATATTTGTATTTTGTGGTCAAAGTATGTGTAATCACAAGATTGTAATCTATCGAATAGGCTATTTTTATATCAATTTGGTATCATATTCAGCCAAAAATGTTTACTGAATTTGATTGACAGAATTACGAATGTTGTTAGCCGGCAATTGTTATCGTCATATTATTCTGGAAACTCGCTGGCAAAACTAACCCTGCAACTGAAAAATAAACTATTTTTGTATTTTGTGGTCAAAGTATGTGTAATCACAAGATTGTAATCTATCGAATAGGCTATTTTTTATATCAATTTGGTAACTTATATTCGCTCAAAAATGTTTACTGAATTTGATTGACAGAATTACGAATGTCGTTAGCCGGCAATTGTTATTGTCATATTATTCTGAAAACTTGCTGGAAAAACTAACCCAGCAACTGAAAAATAAACTATTTTTGTATTTTGTGGTCAAAGTATGTGTAATCACAAGATTGTAATCTATCGAATAGGCTATTTTTTATATCAATTTGGTAACTTATTCGCCCAAAAATGTTTACTGAATTTGATTGACAGAATTACGAATGTCGTTAGCCGGCAATTGTTATTGTCATATTATTCTGAAAACTTGCTGGCAAAACTAACACTGCAACTGAAAAATAAACTATTTTTGAACCTTTTGGTCAAAGTGTTTGTAATCACAAGATTGTAATCTATGGAATAAGCTATTTTTTATATCAATTTGGTAACCTATTCGCCCAAAAATGTTTACTGAAAATTTGACGGCCAAAATTACTTTTGCGCCAACTAGAAGATGGCCATTTCTGTTGCCCCCACTTCGAAGCCGGAACTATAGTTTAATTAAATAAAGTTCAGAGTTTGTAATTTACATATTCTGAACAAAAATAGACCTGTGGATGCACTTGTCCCGTTTTGAAACTTATATCGGGTCAAACAAAGCCAAAAACGTCCTTTGAATGCTTGCGTAATGTTTTTGACTGTAAAAAAGTCGCCATTGCCATTTGTTGTTGTGCGGCAAAGTTTGTACCGGCTAACTTCGAACCCTGCAACTACAGTTTAAATAAAGTTCAGGGTTTGCAATTTACATATTTAAAACAAATATAGACATGTGGATGCATTTCTCCGGTTTTTAAACTTATATTGGGTCAAACAAAAGCAAAAACCACCTTTTAATGATTGCATGCGTAATGTTTTTGACAGCAAAAAAGTCGTCATTGCCATTGGCATTCTTGTTGGCACTGTTGTCGAAAGTTAAGAGTGTTAGACATACAAAACTCACCGTTAAAATAACTGAAACCTTGTTTTTACTTCTTTTAAATAATGGATGCCTTAACAAAAAGGGTTTTCGAGAGAGAAAGAAAGAAAGAAAGAAAGGATTTGTTGTCAATATTAAAAATGGAAGGTATATTAATTTAAAAACCGAAATTGCCAAATTCAAATTTTAAAATATAGATCGAGGAAAACTTCGAAAAGATAACTTCAATCAATTTATATAACGTAATTACAGTGAAGCAAAATTGAATAAATATACGCAAACTTAATTAAAGTAAACTAAAATACGCAAACAAACCTGAATCGTGCCTGAAAGTCCACCCCAAATTGGAAATCAAAATTTTGAACAAGCTCGAAAATTCTCTGCACTCGTCTCTGAATATTAGCAGATCCGTTTTATAAACTTTACACACAATGTGATATACCTAACTACCTTTTCGGTGTAGATTATTTAAACAATTTTCCAGTATATAAAGAGCTGTAAAACAGCAGACAAGTACCGGTCCACAATCTATCGCTTTATTCTTTTTCGAAGCAAAAGGCGCCATTCAGTAATTTACTGCACATGGCATGATTGGCACATGCAAGCGTCACGCAAGCACATCACGGATGGCACGCGCAAAACATTAGGCGTTTCCAGACCCTGTCTTCTGGATTGTCTATGATCGAAGAAAGGTGACATGACCGACGAGGACAGATTGCTGCTGAATCTTTTAGCACTGGCGTTTGGCAGGGAAATTAAGGATTTGACATTTATGTTTAAAACGTTGCATGGTTTTTATGATTTGGATGTTTTCGATTTTGTGTCATTTGTTAATCATAGTCGTACCCGTAATTGTAATAATCCTTCTCTAGTGCTTAAAGTTCCGTCATGTAAAAGTAGCACATTTCAGTCATCGTTCTTCAACCGTATTGTTCCAATCTGGAATCATACTTGCAAAATTGCTTCTTCTGGAGATCTTCACAGTTTGGCAACGTTTAAATCCTTCTTATCAAGAACATACTTCAATTTATTAAGTAGTTGTTTTGATGATGACATGTGCTGTACGTGGTCTTTGTATCGTAGCTGCTCATGCCATAGAAATAGTTAATTCTGCTGTAAACATACACCAGCTCCTCGTGTCAGGTTTTGTTTTATCCTGATTCAACTTTCAAATTTTTAACATGATTATATAAATCTGTATTATGCATGATAACTTAAATGTGGTGCAATAGCGTCCTAATTTGGCATTAATCAGCTGCCGGTATATGTTTACCAATTTATAATATTGTCGTAAATAATGATATATTAGATGTAAACAAAATTCAAGGGGGGGAGTGCCTCGCATGGGCCTTGAGTCCAGTTCGCACTCTTGCCATTTGAACATCGTTCAATAAAGCTGTTAAAATAAAAAAATGAAAAATAAAAATGAATAAAATAAGGAATGATTTCTCAGCCCAGGCATATATAGCACATGTTGATTGACTGAAGCACATGTTGATTTATACTGCCGTGCTTTACATGAGCCGTACCAAATGCGTAAATTATGATAATGAAATATTTTATTATTTCTATTGTTTTCGTGCCCGCGCGCGGGAAAATTAGCACCACGCATTACACGCGTTTCCAAATTTTGACAACATGGCTGCTTCTGTCGGATGTAAAAGAGAAACAAAGTATGAATGTGATGCTTGTAATGTTACTGGAGTAACATCACAAGCGTGTAACGAGTAATATCACAAGCATCATATTCGTCTTGAGTAAAATCACATGCATCATATTCACCTGAGTACACTACACCAACACAGAAAGAAATGAAAGTATGAATGTATTCGTTGTGGAAGGAAAGGTATAGTAATATAATATAGGAAGGTTAGGTATAGTAATATAAATATACAAAATGTATGTTGATAAGTACAATGAAAGAAGAACAACACATTTGAACAAGGGAGTTCTGTTCGTGGAAGCTCCCGCAGGGTTTAATCTTATTTTCTGACGTGCATATTTTTCTGTTCTCATCAGAGTTTACAAAAGTGGTGAGGTTAAAAAAATTAGGGTTAAGTTCTGGTTAAAATTGGAATAGGAAGTGTTTCTGACCCATGCATGTGGGCTAGCACTATATATGCAACAGAACTTGTCTAAATATGACTATGTGTATCTATATAATGGGACTGTGGTAAATGTTAATCTTTGACATTTGTTGTTTTGAACCGATGATAATAAATTCAGTCTTGGAATCATTTATCAAGAGACGGTTAGAAAGCATCTAGGCACGAATGTCAGCAACACAGTTTGCAATACTCTTTATTGCAGCATCTTGTAATAAAGATGTATCCGGCCGAAACGAATAATAAATCTGGGTGTCATCTGCATACGTATGTGCATTGGGAAGATGTTTATCAATAACCTTAAATAACCCAACCACATAGAGTATGAGGAGGACAGGGCCAAGGCAGCTACCCTGCGGAACTCCTGATTGAGGATTGAAAACTTCCGATTCATTCTCTTTAATTAAAATTGTTTGTTTTCTCTCGGATAAATAAGATGTTAGCCATTTGAGGGCATTTCCAGTTGCGCCAAGGTCTTTTTCAAGTGTCTCCAGTAAGATTGCATAGTCGATAGTATCAAATAGATAGCACTTAGGTCGATAAGCACAAGAAGCGTAACCTCCTGGCGATCCATACTGAGGAGAATGTCGTTCTGGACTTTCAGTAAAGCTGTTTCTGTTGAGTGATTTTTCCGATACGCTGATTGATCCTCGGAAAAAGGGGCATTTTCAGCACAATGTATAGATAACTGAGAGATCGTTGCCTTCTCAGCAGACTTGGCAACAAATGGCAGGTCGCTATTTTCCAATGCTATTTTTATTGACAAATATACACTGACGCCATTTTGAATCTCATGAACTTTCAACTCTGACCAAAATTTCCAGACGTTTTGAGTAAAAATGGCCAAAAAAGCCCAATAAAACTGTGGCTATTTCAAAACAATAAATCAATTTTATTCAATTGAATTCACTTAAATATTAGCAATTAAATTCACTAAAATATTGCAATTACAATTATAAATTAATGTTTATAAATAATATTATTTTGATAAAGTTCAAATATAGTTACTATAAAAATGGTTACTAAAATAGTCCATAACGTTTCAATAAAACAAAGCATATAATTATGTGTTTCGAAACAACAAAATCAACAGTCTCAATTCAACGCTTGTAAATGTTAAAGGTGACATTACCAAACTTGCAGTTGTAGAAGGTTGGAATTAGGGGGCTTGACTTCTTCTGTGTCACTGCTAGTTTCTTAATGGTATGAGTTTCGCCTTCACACAATCTTGCGTCAGTTACTTGAGACAACAATAGCATGTATGTCTCAGTATCCTCCATAAAGTGTGCTAAATCAAAGCTGAGGTCATTATAATTGATGTCGATGGGCGGGAATTGTGCTGCATCTGTGGTATCTTTTTCAGTCAATGCGTTAGAGAAATTTGAAAAGGGGTGAGTCCGCTGATGACGGTGTTGGACTCTGGAGGCGTTGCTCATATCTGATATTACTCTGTGTTGGTTTGGGTTTTTTTTATTCATCTTGGAAGGAATGGGACCTTCTGGTCATCCGGGAGAGAGATGCTCTTTGTCTGTGGCATTGTTCGTCTAGCTTCAACTGGAGTGATAGATGCATTGTCTGTTTGAACCATGGGTATAACTGACGGATTTAGAAGGGAGTAACTGAGGTTGTCCCATAAACGAGCTTCATAAACCATTTTGATTAGTCGACAGCCTGCCGGAATGATATGATACCCACCTGCTAGATTTGATACCCACCTGCGATAAGCAATCTCATTGGCTAATGACAGTTTTATTTGGCTTTTTTGGTCATTTTTACTCAAAACGTCTGGAAATTTTGGTCAGCAGTTCAATGTTCATGAGATTCAAAATGAATCATATACATACTATTTTACGGTTACTACAACCTCGTCCCCAGGGCATTCGTACGAGGACGAGGGGAGAGACGAGAAAGCCCTGGTCTGGGCCGGTCAATCTTGCATTCTGATTGGCTAACACCATATTGTCTAAAAATAGCTGCACTTGACAGTTGACAATAACAATTCAACAGTTTGCCAAGATAAAAAATTCTCATACAAGCACTCTATCATCCCTGCCAGGCGGGGTGCATTTCATCTATATATAAAACACACCATCCTGTTTTGCCTAGCCAAGTTTCTCAGCAAGGTTAGGTTAAAACCACCTGTTCAGCCATGCCATAATTTGTCACATAAACAGGCACACACAGTATATAAACTCTATAGAAGGCTTCATTTTACTTGTCGAGGGGAGAGAGCTGCCACTTAATGGCTTGAAAGACCTTGGAAATCCAGGGGAGGGAGATTAAAAGAACAAAATGCACAATTAAATACAAAATTCAATCCATGTCAACATAATTTAATGCTGGTACATGCTGCTATTAAAACCAAGAAATAGCACTGAGCTGATAATCTTAATCAATTCTGTATACGGTATTGGGTTAACAATTTTTTGATTCAGATAGATAACATTGTGACCTCCTCAAGTTTAAAACTTTCAAATAATTTTTATGTTTTGGCTTTTATTAATAGAGATGTTCACATATTGTTTTATACTATGTCCATGTGGCTTTAAATGTGCTTTTGCCAAACAAGTGCATGCAAGCCAGTATTTACTGTGTGTTTATTCAAAATTTGAATTGTTGGTTTTTGAAAGAGATCGCATGAATTGTTGGTTTGAGATGTTGGTTTGAGAAAGATATCGCCGTAGCTTTTTTCCCAGTACAGTAGCTCTATATAATAGTTCTAGTAAAGAAACTTAAGCGTGATACTTAATTACGATGATTTTAATGCAATTCAATAAGATTTTTAGACTTGATGCATGCAACCAATTTTGTAAACGCACCATAATTCAATCTATTGCGAAGGTGTGTATCTTAAACCATTAATAATAATATAATAATAAAAAAACTAGTATTTGATAGCATTGAAATGAAATAATTTCAATATAAAACGTACGAATTCTCACGCGCGCAAATTCAAATTTTAGCAGCCACAACAGCAACAAGATAAATGAGATAATAGGGACGATGAACGCTATAATTCTATGATATAAACAGTAATATTTCATACCTGAGATCAAATATGCCTTCGGCAGGATTCGGAATCACTTATCCGATAAAAAATATGAGGAAAACCATGCTTTTCCTCGTGGTTTTCTTCAGCGAAATATACTCAAACGAAAAAGTAAAATATTTGCAAATCACACCTGACATTTGATACACGACATACCACAACTCATTGCACGCGTGCCTTGTCTTCTAAAATTGATACACCCAAAAGCGCTCCCAATCTATCGCTAGCTTGAAACCGCTATAGGTAAATGGTCTGAAATATTGCGAAAACAACACCATTTACACTATCATTAAGTTTTTCTAATTTATTTGTGAAAATATTATCAATTTGCGTTGCAGGTCATCAGATATTCGTGTTGCTTTAGTGATTAATGGGAAAAAATGACGATGTGAATAATTGTTCGGCAAATTGACCAGCGTAATCACAAGACTCTGATTTGAAAAGATCAATGTTAATTTAAAATCATGCATTCATCAAGCAACAGATCTTATTTTCGCTGTCAATCTTTTCTAAGATTGTGTTAAGTTCATAGTGTTTTTAAACGTAAGAAAATCTCCACTTGGTGGTCTATAAATAACCCCAACAACAAGATTTTTAGCATTATCATTTATAATTTCAATAAATTTAGTTTCAATTATACCTTCAACATTTTTAGTTAAGTCGTTCCGAGATTTATGCTTCAATTGTTTTGACACATAAGGACCTACACCTCCGCCTCTTTTTTCCGGCCTATTAGAACCAAAGTGCTCATAATTATTCAAAGTAAAGCAATTCACAATATTGACATTTAGCCATGTCTCAGTGAGTCCAATTATCTGAAGATGTATATTCAAAGTATCAATCAAAAGTCAATACATATCAATTTAACATTGCAATATATCTGGAAATGTGGCTGAAAAATTCGTACTTCATCTACAAACTACTCATCTAGCTGAATTTATATACTTGTCCGGTATATGCTGTAATCTATGAGACAATTGCTGTTAGTCAAACTACTTTTTTCTATCTTATAATCACCACTGAAATTCGGTTTAAATAAAGGATTGCCAGATTCCATTGCCTAATCATCACCTGCTTCGCTGTCGCCTTTCATAATCATGTAGTTCGAGAGTTCTTGTCCGCCTGTAGGTTTGAAATGGAAACTACAAATTTTAGACAATGCAACTAAAAGGTACCAGTAAATTATATACAGTGATTAATATATTTCCTGCGTACTCATACCCTCACCTGATATTGTCATTTAAATAATTAAATATTCTTGAAACATAAGTAAAAGTTTACTTGTCTTATTATAATTTAAAAACAGTGACTCCATGGGTTTGACTCTATCAAATTTTTGCGAGTTCCTAGTTATCCGGAATATTTGAACCAAGTAAAAGTCCTCGCTGAGCTTCTATGGGGAGAGGCGTTCGAGCTGATACAGGTATGCATCATAAATAAAGTTACGATTTAGGTTTCCTTCTGGATCAACACAAGATCGCCCATGCTGGACCTCTATACGTAGGGAGAACACATGGCCAGAAATGAGGGACTGTCAGCGAAATGTATTGCGGGCGCAAAAATTCGCTAAATTCTGGAATATCAGCATAATACAACCAGACATTATAAGGCATCTCAAGCGAACTTCAGAGCTAATTTTATGTCCGTTAAAGACTGTGGCAACTATTTCCTTATTTACAATCTTTTAATGAATTAAACACAATAGTTTCTAAGTCCAAAACTACAAAAGTACATCAAAATATGGTGAATTTCACGGGATTTAAATTTGACTTTGGCGCGATTTTTTCCCTATTTTGGAGGGCCCCTGTCCTTTATAAACAACAATCAGCGGTTGTACGTACAAATGTTTCCAAAATGGTTGACAAGAACTCACGACGACGCTTTTAAAACGTTCATAGATTTAGGACTTCGCAGTGCTTTCTCTAAAACACTTGGTATTAGCTTACAGTTCTCATGAAATACACGCTAGTTTAAACGCGTTTGGCGGAGCGAGTACAAGCTAAGATGAATCTAAATCGGCACAAAAGGAGAGATCAACTGTCGTACAAGAAATGTAGACGTAAACAATTCGTCTTCGAACTCTTGTTGCAACACTACACTGGCCTCAACTTGGTAAACAATGGGGATTTTACTGTACTTAATAGGAGTTTACATTGCGCGATTATACTGTAAAATTGAGATACTCGGGCGGAGTAATGGCAAATCGTAACACGTCAAGAGTTTCGGGGAATACTCATGGAGGTATTTTGTACATTTCTAGACGTAAACACTTTGAAAATTATGTTTTGTTTCAGCATGCGCATCGCATTTGTATGATTATAATATTAATTTAGCATTCCCGCCATCTTAAATTCGCAAAATTGGTAGCAGCCATACTGTCCCAAATTTCTGGCCATGAGTTACAAACTTGTAAAGATATCCACTGACTAGTATAATCATAAACTAACTATAAAATTAACTTGTTTAATGTAAAAGACTACATACGTACCAAGTATCCCTCTACGACTCGCCCTTCTATTGCTATTTTGGAGACGACGACTTTGGTATATGATCACAGCAAGTGAAAGAAGAAAACATAGGGCCAAAATAACCAGCGGTATTAGAAGATGCATGCGAATTTTCTTGTCCTCCGTTTCACTGTCGACAGACAAACATTCTACTACAAAAGTGCGAGAATTAGTATAAATAAATAATATTTAACTTAGTTTGGCTTTCACGAATTCAAATGTTTACGAAATTGAATGTTCTCAAAATTAAAGTGTTACAATCTACTTGAAACTTAATAGTTTTGTTTGTGGAAACACCACGTAAATTTATTACTGCAAAGCTTTCGATCCGTAAGCCCGGATCTTTATTAGTGCTAAAAATATGTCACATTATATGTCTTAATAATATGTCATATTATGAGCACTGATGAAGATCTGGGCTTACGGATCGAAAGCTTTGCAGTAATAAATTTACGTGGTGTTTCCACACACAAAACTATTATATGTTTTATCGCCATGCAAACGTATAAAGAACATACTACTTGAAATAGTTGAGAGTGCTTGTGCCACAATGGCAAATGTCTTTTATGCATGTGTGCCTTTCTGTACCTCTGAGAGTTCTTTGAGAGCTTTTTACTCAACCAAACACACTCGACCTCCAAGGAGAACAGTTTACTATCCTACATACACTGTTAATTTGAAGGTGTTAAAATAGCACCTTCGTATGTGTTAAAATGACACCTTGTGGTGGTGTTAAATAAAAAGTGTTAATCTAACACCAATTTGGGTGCTGAATTAACACCATGAAGTTGGGAATTGATTTTGAAGTGCTAAATTAGCACCATAGATATTTAACACTTTTCTAGGGTGTTAAAATAGCACCCATTCTATTGAGTGAAAGTGTTAAAGTAGCACCGTTTTGAGAGTTAAACTTAGGGTGTCAAAATAGCACCTCGTGAACCGGTTTTCAGATTCAAAGTGGCGGACCACGTAGGAGCGGTTTACGTTTTTCAGACAAGTAAATGGGGCAAAGGATCATATTTTTACATATTATCGCTTTTAATGTAATCCTTGTAGGGCCTCATTGAAAAACTAATAAAAAATAATCGAAGCAATCTGTCATTTTGGTGTTAGTGATGTCAGGAAAGTGTGCAGTGATAAACCGGCAGTAAAAATATGCAGTGAAAAGAAATTGTGTGGTGATGACAAAATATGTTCATGCAAGGGAGATATAACAAGACAGCTAGAATTTTAAAGTTAAGAGTCTCTGTCAAAAAAACTTAGAAATGCAGGTTTATTTGCACTGGATTGCTCACATGATTGAGATCAGTGCCTTCAGAAGGGCCTCCCAGAGGGCTTAGCGAGCACATTTCTAGCGCGTCGCTTGGAAATTTTAATTTAACGTCGGTTGATAAAGCCAAGATTTCTTAAATTATAGTAGAAAATAAGAAGAAATTCTCCATTGTTTGAAGATTCAGACAATAATTGTAAATGTAAGTGCTCAACTATGTCAATATTTTTAAGTTTCGTGTGTAAATATGTGCCATAAATAGTAATATATTCATGTATATTTTAACCGCCATTGCCGTTGGCCGCATTGTATTTTGTATTTGGTTCAACAATATATTGTTATTAAAATACATTAAAACTTAGTGATATTGCTTTGTATTGACAGGTTATAATTTCAAGCAATAAATACTGTCATAGTATGTGTTCTAAGCAAGTCGAACTGTCGAAATCATGATATATACAGGCTACAAGAAGGTATGAAATATACAATTATATTTACAAGGGCCCACAAAGGAAGGATTGTTCGCTCATACAAAGCCATGGAACTTGCTTTGGCGATTAGATAAATATTAGCTAAATGAGTTAATATTGATACCCTTTCAATAGTGATCAATACATTAAAGTTAACAATATAAACATTTATATTTGTTAATGTATTGATCTATTGAGAGGATATCAATGTTGACTCAATGGCTATTAATATTGATTTAGAATGTAAGGGTGTGTAATCCAAGTGAGAATATATACATTTTAAGACCTAACCAGGAACGACTGCGAAAAATGCAGCACAAGGTCCTCTGGTAGGAATTGAACCTACGGCCCTGCGATTCCGGTGCAGCGCTCTAACCAACTGAGCTACAGAGGCCAGCTGTTAAGCTGTAACCGTAAGTTCATGTATATATAGGTAATCGGGTGTGCGGGTTGTGATAAGGTGGACTTCAATGATGGTTTCTTGCACTTCACTTGGTGGAATTAATTTAGAATGTAAGGGTTTGTAATCCAAGTGAGAATATATACATTTTAAGGCCTAACCAGGAACGACTGTGAAAAATGCAGCACAAGGTCCTCTGGTAGGAATTGAACCTACAGCCCTGCGATTCCGGTGCAGCGCTCTAACCAAATGAGCTACAGAGGCCAGTATAATCTCCAAAGCAAGTTCTATGGCTTTGTATTAGGCCCTGTTTACATGAGACCACAACAAAGTCAAACCGGGACCATTTTGTTTTGCTCATAGTATGATCTATAATAGATGTTCACAAGCGACCAGGATGAAAATAACTCGACAGACCAGTCTCAAGTCATTCTGCCGGCTGGATCAAGCCGATTGACTTTAGACTGGCATGAATTCAGACCGGCATGAATGTAAACACAAATACATTTCAGACCGGTCTTGGCTGTAACCTTGACATTGGAACAACATATGCTAACAAAAGCCATCTGAACAAGAAAATTGCCTAACAAGGGGAATAAATTGGAAATTTTGTGATTTTTGTACTGATCTCATGTAAACATGTTGACAATTTCAATTTTCCTTCCAGTTTGACTTCGTCCTGGTTTCATGTAAATGGGGCCTAAGAGCAGAACAATCCTTCCTTTGTGTTATCTATATTGTACTATCATAGTAAATAGCTGTATTTCTATTTAATATCCAGACAACCCAGGTAGAATGTTCCTAAATTCCCTGAATATATTGAGGATACATGTCTGAGTCCCTCATACTATTGTTTATATGTTTCTGAGAATTTCCAGGCTCACAATTTTATGCATAAAGAAACTGTTTCAGGGGCCACGTCCATATTCATGTTGCCACAACAACATCGAATCGACATTATAAGTGGGTGCGTTTTATGTGAACTTATCTCTGTTATCTTGTGGCAATTTGACAATTAATGCCAATAAATGATCAATAATTGACGTTAAATTATTAATTGACAATGAATTACAGTATCTAGCCGACTCACCACAGAAAATTACAAATTGAGTTACATTATGCCCTGATATGCCCTACTTTATTATTTTACTTTATTTAATGCCAGACTATTTAACTCTGTCTGATCCCAGATGATTTTACTTATCAAGGGGAGAGAGCTGGTGCTAATGGGTTAACTGTCATATCTGCCCATATAACATGGGTTAACTGTCATATCTGCCACATAAATTGCACCCTACTTTATTATTTTACTTTGTCTAACACCAGACGATTTTACTTGTCAAGGGGAGAGGGCTCCCGCTTAATGGGTTAGATTACCATTCAGCAAAGATTCTATTGGTTACAAATTATCTTCACCGGTAACATAAACTTTCATTTGGATTGTGACGGATATAAACTGTATTGAAATGATCCAACTGAATCAAAGTATGTAATTGTGAGAAGTATTTTCAAAAGTAGGTTGTTTAATTACTGATTGAAAAATAAGAAAATTATTCAAAGAAATTCTTATTTTTTCAGGTAGTTAAACAATCTACTGTTTGCAACTGTAGCTAGTGAATAGTCTACTTTGCTGTATGATTGATTACAGTGATTACAGGTTTTGAAAAACAATTGTTTAGTATCTGTGTGTTTATATTATGGACATGGATTAAACAATTAACATAGATTAAGATACTTAATTGAAAGAACTTAATCTATATATGTGTATGTATACTGTACAGAAATTTATTCTATGTTTAAATCTTTTTGTGTAGAGGATGCTCAAACCCTTTTATCAGGATCTCAACCCCTTGTCTATTGGAACTGGACCTCTGGAAGAGATAAGTTTTATTTCATTGATTGCAGAGGGAATGTTTGTGAAAAATTCAAATTGTGCAATATAGCCAACAACCTGCAGTTTATGATAATGCACAATTTATGATAATGATGATATTATATTGATCATTAATGTAATGCATGTATTGTACATGCAGGATATACCGTAAATCTCCAAATATAAGTCCCCCATGTATAAGTTCCACCCCCCCCCCACGTATAAGCCCACCACATGTACTAACGCTCACCTCATTCCAAATATAAGCCCCCCCCCTGAATATAAGCCCACCCAAATATAAATAAGCCCACTTGTTTATCACTATTACAACTATTTATCATTATTATTACTATGCTTGTTTAACACTTGTTTATCACTATTACTATACTTGTACATTGCTATTAAACTAACACAAAAGATTGTCCATGAAAACGCCCATCAAAAATCGCTTACGAAAGAATGTAAGCCCAGGGCTTATAGTTGGAAGTTTACGGTATTGTCCTTATCTTTAATGACTAGAGTGTAGTACGAGGAGAGTTATGGCGTCACAATCATGGTCTATTTCTGTGAACGTTTCTATATAGTGTAAACCTTAGGTGCAATAACTCTGAATTTACTATAAACTTCATATATGACATAGATAAGTAATGCTGTAAAGTATAATGTAAATAAATTTTTCAACAGATTATTTTATTAATTGTTTTGTGTGTTGGATAGAAGGGATATACATTTTTAATATTCGGTAATGCTAAAATAACACTAAAATTGAGTGTTATTTTAACACTAAGGTTAGAGTGCTAAAACAACACCGAAAAGGGTGCTATTATGACACTAAAAATGGAGTTATTTTAACACCTTTGCAGGTGCTAATTTGACACCCTACAAAGTGGTGTTAAAATAGCACCCAAAAAGGTGTTATTTTGTACCTTTTTATTTGACACCATTTTTGGTGTTATTTTAACACCTTCAAATTAACAGTGTAACTCATAAACCTTACTAATAAATCGCAATCAGGGTCCCGTATCCTCGGAAACATGAATAAACGCGGGAAAAATGACGGGCATCGCAGGACTAGAAAAATTTTGACTAAAAAATCAACGCATTTTCCACAAATTATCCATAAAACTAAGCATGAACGTTGAAGTAATGATTTTGAGAAAATATATGGTCATTTTTCTGAAATATTTACTGTACAAAAATATATCCTGGGGTCAATCGGAAAAGGAACTTTTGCAAAAAACCCAACAATTATCAAACGTGTACAAACGTCTACAATTCCAAAATCGTAGGAAATATGAAACTAAAACTGTCTGTACAAGTGCAGGTAGCACCAATGTGAAAATGGTGTGCTGAGTGGTTATATTACTACCTGAAATAAACAAGCAGAAACTCGACGTTTCGAGCGAATGCCCTTCGTCAAGAGTTAGTAGCTACTAACTCTTTACGAAGGGCCTTCGCTCGAAACGTCGAGGATCTGCTTGTTTATTTCAGGTAGTAATATAACCACTCAGCACAGGAAATATGAAACCATTGTCAATTAAAGAAATAAGCTTACTACTCACTCAGCGAAGGTGGCTTCCATTACTTAAACTTCTAGACTGCTTGCAGAAAGTTTTCCAGGCCCAAACATATTTCATACATGCATGAGTAAAACATTTTCCATGCGAATCACTAGTATTTGAAGTTCTCTCGTAAATTTTGACCTCTTGTTTTCTTTCATATTAATGCCAAGATATGAAAATAAAACTTTCCTTCCTTGGTTGTCTTCATTTTGTCACGGAATAAGATAAATATTGACGTTACAATCTCAATAAAATACCGTTTTTCACCTCTGGATAAACACCATCGCTACATTGTCATATTTTGACATTTTCCACACAGGAGAAAGAGCGGTCGTTTTCATCGCAGTCTCGATTCTAGCTTTCGTTGTTGGGACAAAATGTTAAAATATATACAAAGTTGTTATAACTTGAATTAAACGACAAGAAAAAGGCGTCCAGATCTTGGCAGTGATTTGGCCTTTCGCAAGTAGGCCAGCTTTTGTTTGTTCTCCCACGTTTATTCCTGTTTCCTTCGGAAAAGGGTCCCCGATTGTGAATTATGAGTAAGGACTTTAAACTAAGTTAGTTTAGTTTTTCTACTGTCGTGACACTGAACCACTTGTGATTTGTGAGAACAGCCGTTTAGAACTGAAAGAGCTACTGTAGCTATTTATGATGTCCCGTATCAACATCGGTATTAAGTTCTAATTATTGATGCTGTAAATTCCGCACTGCGCATCAGTTCTGCTCATAACAAAGGGGACCCGCAGTTATAAACATTGCCCATTTGGTACTTTTTGAATTGAAACGTTTAGCCTATGTTCATTTAGAAGCATAGCAAACTACAAAAGTGTTAGATATTCGGATAGTACATTATTATAGGAAATTAACGATGCACTTTATTAACGCGACATAAATTAACGCGACATCAAATTAACGCGGATTGCTTCTAGGTCTTTTAAAACATAATTATATTAACGCGAATCTGATCTCCATGGTTAATAAATTAATTAAATTTAACGCGAATCAGATAGTGAACTGAGTTGAGAGGAGCACTAATGTTTATAGTTTACGTTAATATGCTGTATTTTGATATTAGGAGAGTTAGTGTTATATAAAACAAATCAATGTCTTTTTAACTGACGACAAATAAAAATTGGATACTTAAAATTAACGATGACATAAATTAACATTAATTAAATTAACGCGAATTTTTAAAATCCGCGTTAATAAAGTGCATCGTTAATTTCCTATAATAAGGTGTATCATATTATTTAAATATAGCTGGTCAAAAAGTAACAAAGAGTTTGTTTACATTGCGGTTTTACAGCATCTTTAAGTTAGTTTAGGTTTTCTCCTGTTGTTACACTAAACCGTTAAGTGATGACCCATACTGGACCTCTGGGAGACCGCTAATGATAGAGTTAGCCATAATAAATGCGAGTATAAATGAAGTTTGTCTACAAAAATTTAGCGTCTCCTTATACTGGACCTCGACGAAGAACAGTTTAATTAAAACCAAATGATATCATGAATGTTTACAATGAAGAATTAGATTTCGCAAGAACCACAGCGAAGAAGAAACGACAAATTCAAGATCTAAATACCCACTATAGTTATACTTTGTAGTATCCACTCCTTGTCAAATTTAATACGGCGGATTTTAGGTGAACGCCATTGGCACGCGCTTGGGAAAATGGGGATGCATGATTCGTGATCAAGTACGCATTCCATATGGTATGTCCAACATGCTATCATTGTTAAAGTGTACTAAATTCTAAACAAACGCCTTACCTGGTCTAAAATTCTCAGTAGTGGAGGAAGGTTGAGCGGTACCCTCAGTAGATGAGGAAGGTAGAGTGGTACCCTCAGTAGTGGAGGAATGTTGTGTGGTACCATCAGTAGTGGAGGAAGTTTGAGCGGTACCTTCAGTAGTGAAGGAAGATTGAGTATTACCATCAGTAGTGGAGGAAGGTAGAATGGTACTCTCAGTAGTGAAGAAATGTTGAGTGGTACCCCCAGTGGTGGAAAAAGGTTGAATGTTCCTTTTAGTAGTGGAGAAAGGTTGAATGATTTCATCTGTAGTTGAGGAATGTTTAGTGGTACTTTCAGTAGTGGAGGAAGGTTGGGTGGGTTGACCAGCTGATGTGGATTGATCTAAACACAATAAAATCAAGATCTAAACACAATAAAATCATTACACTTTCACAATCATTACAGTCGAAACTTTGATGCTTTGCGACGTAGCTAGCACTGATCAAGACACGGGTTTACGAAAGTGATTATTACAGTTGTTCAAAATACAGTAATGGTTTAAAATCTTTTGTGAATGGCCGCCAGTTCTCGCTGAGGTTTTATATTCATATCGTCGTAAACAAAATAAAATAACACAAACTTCTGGCTTGGTCATTCTTCATATCATGCTCAACCTCATTCAATAATTGTTAAATATAGTCCATTTTCTTCTCTCTCAGCTGACTACGTCACCTTCACCATCACCAAGATGTTAATATTCGGAGTGGGTTTCATCTTATATATGACGATTTATTATTTAAATAAATAATTTATTTAAACAGGGCGTTCCTTTCGTTGTAGAAACACTGGTGTCAATGGAAGTCCAACTATCACTGGAAGAAAAATCGTTACCGCAACAAGCGGTGCGGCCTAGTTTCTCATTGATCGTACTTACTTGAGACTGGAGACTTATTTAAGAGTTTATATGTCAATATAAATCCGCTTCCAGAGCCACTGCCATCAGTTGAAAAAAGAAACGAGACATTACCATCTCTATATGTTGTCGTGTTGCCGGCAGATGACACACCACACGTGTAGTTAGAAGCACTGTTGTCCGCAACAGTTAACTTGTCCTTCGAGCACTGGGAAGCATCTGTAAGCAAAATAGTAAATAATTCACCGTTAGATTGAGTAACAACGACAGCAATTAATATACAAGCAGCATGAAAATAAACAACTGAAACAACTGGAACAACATCAACAATTGCAACAACATACAACTAAACGACAAAATTACCAACAAAGCAGCAACAACAAAAACATCCACCACAACAACAATTTCCACCACAACAACAACATTTATCACAACAACAACATCCACCACAACAACAACTTCACAACAAAAACAACAACAATGCATGCATCACTACAATACCATCAACAACAGAAACAACAGCTAGAACAACCGCAACATCCACCACCACAATACCATCAACCAGTGGCGTAGCTAGCAGTCCTGCTTGTCCTGCCCAGCAGGACTAAAAATTTCCCAACATTTCCTTGCTAAAACATTGCTTTATTTATCTTGAAGCCTTAAAAATTCATCATTATCATTTTGTTATTTGTCTCATTTTTTCGTCTTTTTCTTTATTATTTTTTAAAAAGTTTTTCGTATTCTTTTATATTTACGCAATTTTACAGCTTGCCGTGTTTGTTACCTAGGAACTGCAACTCTACATTGATTTACACGCGATTCGTGTTTCAGCACATTCATACAAAAAATTATTTCTTGACTTAAAAAAGGTGTTTGTACTGTAAATCATGATATTCTTATTGAGAAATTAAAACTTTATGGCTTTCAAAAGCAATCTCTGTCATGGTTTGAATCCTACTTAAAAGATAGGAGACAATTTTGTAAAATTAATCAAAGTCAGTCGTCAATCAGGAACGTTCGATGTGGGATACCTCAAGGATCAAATCTTGATCAAATTTCTGATTTATATTAATGATCTGCCAAACTGTCTTGATGAATGTATTCCAAGCATTTTTGCTGATGATACAAATATTTTCGTAAATGCTACAAATGTTGATCAAATTAGTGTGAAATTAAATACTGAAATTCAAAAAATACATACATGGTTACGATCATAGGATCCAAGCACAGCTTTACTAAAGTTCAAACGGATCAAATTACCACAATGGACCATTTGCATTATGGACTAAATTTTGATCTAGACAAATATTTCATCACAGCTTGAAAGAGCATCACAAAATTAGTAATATTCCAAAGTTTAGTTGCGAAATGTTGTAAGATGCGGATAATATAGCCTTGCAAAATTTGCAATTTTCAGTCATTTTGTATTACAAACGGGAAATTGTTGCCCCGTAACACCCAATTGGACTGTCCATTTCTCATGCATAATACAAAATGACTGAAAAACGGCAAACTTCGCCAGACTATATTTTCCGCATTTTACAACATTTCGCAACGAATCTTTGCAATATTACTAATTTTGTGATGCTCTTTCAATCTGTGATGAAATATTTGTCTAGATCAAAATTTAGTTTATAATGCAAATGATCCATTGGAAATAATAATATAAAACGCCTTTACAAAACAAAAAGTCTAGGAATCATTATAGATGACAAGCTAAAATGGAAAGAGAATAAACATAGCATCTGTAAGAAAACTTCGAAGGGTATAGGAATGCTACGGTTTTGCAAGTGTTTTGTTTCCCGAAATACTTTGAAAATGATTTATAATTCACTTATTTTACCTCATTTTAATTACTGCATGCTCCCTTGTTTGGAGTAATTGTTCAGAAACATTAAAATTAAATTTACAAAAACTTCAAAACAGAGCGGCAAGGGTTTTTACAGGTGATAATTATGACGTTCGATCAAAAGAAATATTACTTAACTTAAGTTAGGCTGGAAAACACTGGATGAAAGGCAAGAAAATCTCATGGAAAAATGTATGAGTAATGTTATGAATGATAATGGTCCGCAGATAATAGGTAGCCTTTTTGAACAGTGCAACAATTCGAATTATAATTTAAGAGGTAATGGCAAATTTCTGTCAAAACCAAATACAAACTCTATGACGAGAAGTTTTAGTTATATGGGGGCTAAGACCTGGAATCAGCATCTAAACGATAAATTGTAAATATTATAATTCTATTCTCTTACTTGTAAATATTACACGGCACTATGAAAATCAATATCAATTAATAGGTTACCGTGTATATATATAATTAAATACAGTACAATATAATGGGGAATACAAACATTATTTGTGAAGATTGTCGCATTGATATAAAGTAAGAACGTAATATTTACTGCCAGTTCATCTGCTTTATGCACTGAAACACGAACACTGAATTGCATTCAGATTGTCAAGCGTAGTGGCCTGTACTTCACTCTGTAGTTGATACCACTCCATTATATAAAGTTTAACACATTACTAACAAACGTAGTGAATTTTTAACGAATGCTAGCCGCAGAGTTATAGTGTATAAAACGCCGTGTTCAAGAATACAATAGTTACGCAATTGTTGATTATATGTTGATCAAGCGAAAGATAATATTACAGACGCGTATTGTATACATGATATTTTCCTCTTTCGTGACTTTACAATATATATTTAGCTAAATTTTCAGGTAAGTTTAAAAATATATAGTGAAATAAGATAAAAAATACATGGATTTCAAAAAGTTACAACATTTTTCTTCTAAAAAAATGTTAAAAATTTTTCCGCATATCACACAATTTATTGATGTTCCTTTTGGAGTATTTCGCCGTGAAATCGCAGGAAATGGCCGTTCCAGATTTCTAAAATTCAAAATTTTCCGGGCCAGCATGCCCCCGACCCCCCTAGAATGTATGCGTCTTAGAGCAGGACAAGTGAAATTTCGTTAGCTACGCCACTGCCATCAACAGCAGTAGCAACAGTTACAACAACGTTGCGTCCACCACAACAATACCACCAATAGCAGTAGCAACAGCTGAAACTACCACAAGAGCAACAACAGAAACAACAACACTATCCACAACAATATCAAGAGCAGCAACAAGAGCAAGAAGAATAACGCAGGTAGTAACTACTTGATGAATATCCCGCGTTGTCTGCTGTAACTTCATCACCAAATGAATAACTGAAGAACGAACTCCCAATTTGTTTGCAACTTCTATTCGGAGTTGTTTTATTTTATACTTGACTAATGTTAAATCTAAAAAAACTCTGATGAAACTTTCCTGCGTATATCCTCGAAATAACACTATTTGGGTTTAATTAACCATTTTTTTATCTAGGCAAAAAAAGTAAATTCTCATAAAAAACTTATTAAAATTTGTAAAATTGCAAAATTTGGTTACGAAATGTTATAAAATAGGGAGAATATAGCCTTGCGAGGTTTGCATATTTTGTATATGTTTATAATACGCGCGGAAATATAATTGTTGCCATTTTTGAGCCGAAAATGGAAACAATTTCCGCACGCCGAATACAAATATATGCAAAATTTTGCAATTAATGCTAAATTTTCCAATTAAGCTTTACAACATTTCGCAACTAAATTTTCAAAATTATATTACTTTATGTTCTTTTTAGCCGTTGGTTTTGATTCGCTTCTCTTTACTTAGATTAAAATTTTGTCTATCATGGCAAGTTGTCCATTGTCTTGGTTAAATTTCTTGATTATTTTATCTCACTTTTTATCACGGTTGGTTTATGTGAATTAACAGGAGTCTGGTTATGTTTCACAGGACGCGAATTAACGTTAAAATAACCAGACTATGCTTGGTGGATAGTCTGCTTATTAAACATTAGCGTTGCATTTTAATTTAACCAGTAAGTATTGGTCAAATTAACCAGATTATAGAAAAATAAGATTAAAATAACCAGGAAAGTTAGCCAGGAATATTAAGTTAACCCAAATAGGGCTATTTATAGATTAATATCAGGAAAGTTTTGAGCAAAGCGTTTCTAAAGTGTATTGTCATTGTTATACAGTATAGTGTAATTGTTGTGCACTTACTTTCAATATCGCGATAGTTGTAGGAAATTTCAACGTCCTTATTTGAAAGCACATTCAGGGTAAGCTTACAGTTCAGATTGGCGCCATAGTTACCAGCGAATCCAGGCGAGTGGACACGACCAGTAGCTCTGGGGGTGATTGTTCTTGTCGGACACACACTAACTGCTGGGGGCAAACCAGTTGCTAGAAAAAATAAACATAGGAATATCCTGTACACAGGAAGTAATCAAAAAAGTTAATCTAGCTATGGCATGCTTTCTTGCGATAGATATTACATATACTAGATATTGCTTACTCCGACTCGTGTTAAATTTGAGATCAAAACCGCTTTGTTCAACACTACCATCTGTCACCATTCTCAATGTGACGACATTCACGTCAATCACAAATGGCGCCGGAGTGTTGGTCCCACACAATTTTTTTGATAAACTTCCAGATATTATGAGTTCATCATAACGACATCCATCTGTAAAGTAAATAAGTAAATACAGCTAGTACATATCAATAATATCCTAGACTGCATACCTCCCCCAGCAAATTTTTATGTAACATGCATAAATTATGCTAATTACCCATATAGTTTATTCCACCTGGTATAGGAAGACAAACCTTAATTTTTGTTCGACCCAAATTTCATCCAATTTTAAACAAAACTTCAAACACTCATTAATAATTCATAACTTATTGGCAAATCATGTCAACCATAATATGTGACGTGCAGTGGCTTTAAACCTGATAAAACACTCCTAATTAGTATTCTTTATATAAAGAATACTAATAAGGCAGTATCTATTGCAGTCGTGTCCTCATTAGTATTCTTTATATAAATAATTCTAATAAAGCAGTATATCTGTTGAATTTGTAGTCGTGTTTTAAACATAATAAAACGCACCTGCTCGTTTATTAAACAGTACTTAATCAATTTGTCTTTGGCAATGTCCAATGATTTTTATCAGCATGAACAATAACATGCGAATCTGAGTCGCTGGAGTTTCCCACGATGGAGTTAAAGTTCGGAATTCTCTAGTTGCAAATGTGCGTAATTCGGATACATTGGCAGTAATCAAAAATGGAATTCACGCTCATACCTCCTAATTTCTGTCAGGAGATAAATTTTGTGCTATTTCCAAACTGTTCTGTAATTTACTTTTGTAAATTTATGCATGCCTTATAAACATACTTGTGTTTAACTAGCGTATCGTAGATGTGGTTACATTGCCCTTTATAAAATGTATGTAATGTATATAAAGGTATACGTTCTTTAATATGTTATTCATACGCCCCTCGTGGAAACCAACTTTAAATTTGACGAGCCTACCGTGTGAGGTTAGTATGTTGCTGCTGCTGCCCCTCCTCCTCCTACTGCTACTGCTATCCCTACTGCTACTGCTACTACCACTGCTACTGTCACCCTTACTGCTACTGTTACTGCTGCTGCAGCTGCTACTGCTACTACTACTGCTACTGCTACTGCCACTGCCACTGCCACTGCCACTGCCACTGCCACTGCCACTGCCACTGCCACTGCCACTGCCACTGCTGCTGCTGCTGCTACTGCTACTGCTACTGCTACTGCTACTGCTACTGCTACTGCTACTGCTACTGCTACTGCTACTGCTACTGCTACTGCTACTGCTACTGCTACTGCAACTGCAACCCTTACTGCTACTGCTACTGCTACTGCTACTGCTTCTGTTACTGCTACTGCTATTGCTACTGCTACTGCTACTGCTACTGCTACTGCTACTGCTACTGCTATTGCCACTGCTACTGCCACTGCCATCCCTACTGCTACTGCTACTGCCACCCTTACTGCTACCGCTAATTCTATACTGCTACTGCCAGTGCTACTGCTGCTATTACTACTACTTTTACTGCTACTACTGCCACCACAGCAACCACCACCACCCCAACCACCAGCACCACCACCAGCAATATAAAACAATTAAGTTATGTGCCATGCAAAAATTATACAATGGGTTAATCACATATATAGTTTACTCCGCCCGGTATAGCAAGACAAATAAACCTTTGCAAATTTTTCCTGCACCCAAATTTCATCCAAATTTCATCAAAAATTATTCAATTTGTCCTTGGGCAATATCGAACGACTTTACCGGCATTAACAATAACACGCGAACCTGAGTCGCGGGAGTTTCCCAGTTAGCCGCGCAGATACGGACAAGCTCTCGAGTGTAACATAAATTACGTTACCTACCGACAAATGGACTCTCCATATCAAGCATGATAAAAGTGAAAATAAAATTTGTGTCCAAGGGTTGTTTGATCGTTAGGGTACAATCAGTGCTCGCTGGATAGTTGCTTGGATAGTTAGGAGATCTAATCTGTCCACTGGATGCTGTAACCTCTCTTGTTGGGCAGATATTGATAGCATGGCCTCTGTCTGTTGAAAAGACAAGTACAACAGTTAAATTTTCACTATAAATTTCGAGCACTATAAATACACTTAATTTCGCTCACTATAAATGCGCTAATACACTTTTTTAGCAAAAGCTCCCTAGATAAGCTTCGACGCTTTTGGAGCAATTGCATTTAATTTGTTTCATAAAATACTGTTTATATAAAAAAAAGAATACACTTAAATTGCTCGAAAGTTTTGTTTAGTTCTTTCTCGTTTTATCTGCCAAAATTTTGATTATTTTTTTATCATAGCCAATCCGTCGTCTCTGTACTATATATCTCTGATGGGGAGGCAAAATCAATTTGTTGACATTTTTGTAATAATTAATATGTCAGCTTCAAATGACACCATTCATTGTACCGATTAAGATTATACTCAGTCAGAACTGCAAAACTATATAATAAAAATGAAATTGTATACATTATCGAAAAGTATGGTATATCTCACGTGCAGATTCTCTTGTACCTAGGATACAGGCGATCGCCGATCTCAAAAGGGCGAAAGAGAGACGGCACCTCATCCATGCTAGAGTAGCACCATATTCTGACTTCCGTTTAATCGCTAATAATTCAGCAATTCTCTTATACGCGACTGTTGATTCTTTACCAAGACCACCACTGGTTGAAAAGATTACAGGGGTAAAGAACCATGCCCG